AAATTAACAAAAACCTTGAAAAATCTTGAAAAAACAGGAAAAAAACAGTGAAAACGGACGAAAACAATTTAAAAGTTTGAATTCGCGCGCATTTACTCACCGGGTGGACTAGAAAAACAAGCGGAAAAAGCTCGTCTCTAAGGGCTTTCAGCCTATTTTTCGATGCGTTTTTCTCGATGAAGGTTTTTTTTGAATTTTTTCTTTATTTTTATGGCAATCTACATGCTTTTCTGCACATTTTGATGCAATAGAAAAATTTCATGCGTACACCACCTTTAACAATCGATTTTTGTCGGTTTTCAGCCATTTTTTTTTAAATTGTTATATTTTTTCAAAAATTTGCCCCATTTTCCCAAATTTGCCTTTTTTTTGCTCGATTTTCCCCTAGTTACATCCCATTTCGCCTGAATTTAATAAAGATGATTTTTTCTCTTTTTTAAAAATCTATTTTTTGAAAAATTCGGTTAAATTTATATTTTACTGATCTCAATACTTTTAATTGCTTTTTTTTTGGTATATTTTTATTGATTTTTTTTTCTGAAAATTTCACAATTTTCCATTATTTTTGAGCTGAAAATCCGATTAATCCATTCATTTTTATTCTGAAAATTTGTAAATTTCCGACAAAAAAATTGATGATTTTTAAGTTTTCATGATGAAAAATGACTGAAATTTTTGGATTTTTAGCATCTGAAATTTCAATATTTTGATTCAAAAAATCAGGTATTTTCAGCAATTAAAAAAAAATTAAATCTAGAAAAATTAAGCTGAAATTGAGGGGGTTTCAGTCATTTTTTTTTCTAGAAATTATTTTTGAAATTCCCAAAAATTGTTTGATTTTTTGGAATCTTTAAAAAAAATTCAAAAATCGAAATTTCAGCTCTTTTAAATCTTAAAATATGACAAAAAAATTCAGCTTCTTTGAAATAAATTTTCAGCCGAAAACCAAAAATCTCCTGAAAAATCAAATTTTCAGCTCATTTTTTCTAGAATTTTCATCTCGAAACTTCAAAAAACGATGAAATAATTTTTTTCGAAATTTCCAGAAAAACTGACTTTTCAGATTTTTTTTCCTTTTTTTTAAAGCTTTTTTTCTATCCAGAAATTCCCCCAATTTTTGTAGTTTTTCGGCCCAAAAATTCATTTTTTTCGCCCAATTTTCAGACGAATTTTCTGAAATTTCATCAGGATTTTGACAAAATTCGAAACTCGAATTTCAGCTCATTTTAGCTCAAAATTTTTGATTTGATGGAAAATTTCAAAAATCAATTTTCAGCGAAAAACCAAAAAATGGAGCAATCATGCTCAAAAGCACCACCACCACCGCCTCCATCGCTCGCCCGCTTCTTCCACCCTCGTATTCCGTTTCCACGTGTCTTACAACCAAAAGGAACATTCACCCCAATGGAAATTCCCAATTCGTACCTACAGTACTGTGTCACGTCATCAACACAGCCGACAATCCTTCGACGTGGAAATGGAGCCGGGACGTCATCAGATGCCCGGTCCCGTCCGGATACCGTATACCGGAGAAATGATCCGGCGAACAGGCCTTATGTGATGAAGAAACGACCGCAAGCACAGGTTTACCATTGTGTACAGTGCAATAAGAATATCAAGGTATGGGACCCAAAAAGAGCTTAAAAATTCAGAATTGTAGTATTAAAATTGGCTATTTTGAGCCTTAAAATGTGCTTTTTTGAGCTTGAAAATTCCTAATTTTTTGTTTAAAATAGTCGATTTTGAGCTTGAAAAGGGCAAATCTCTAAGCTAAGATTTCAAAATATCCAGCTGAAAATCAGAACTGAAGGCTCAAAAAACACTAACTTTCTGTGTGAAATTGCTGATTTTAAGCCTTGGAAATTACTATTTTAGGTCTAAAAATGTCGAATTTTCAAGAAAAATGGTCCTTTTTAGCCTAAAATCATCGGTTTTGGACTTTATTTTATCGTTTTTAAAAAACTGACTTTTCGTCTGAAATTGACTTACAGTACCCCTCAAAAATCACGGAGCACATCCGAAAGCACACCGGCGAGAAGGCGCACGTCTGTCGCGTTTGTGATCGGAGTTTCAGTCAAGCGCACACATTGAAGGCGCACATGCTTCAACACTCGAATGAGACACCCTACAAGTGCTCGTATTGTCCAGTGGAATTCGCGGATTTAGTCGATAAGGATGAGCATGAGGAGGTATGGATGGCTGAAAATCTGGAACCAAATTCTTTGAAAATCTAAATTTCCAGTCCCATCTGCATCCCGAGGCTCTCTCAGCTCTCAGCAATCCCCGAATCCTTCAACTCGAGCTCCGCCGCCAAGAGGCTCCGCCCATTTTAGAAGTTGAAGACGTTGAGGAAGAAGAAGACGTCGACGCTGATGAAGAAGGCACACAGATGTGTCAGATTTACGAGTGTCCCGAGATGTGTGGGTTTCAGGTTTGGCCAAAAATCCCATGTTTTTCATCGATTGCTCAGCTTTTTTCAGAGTTTTGACGAGCCTGAAGTCGTCGCCCATATTCAGATTGCTCATCAAATTGCTCATCATCATCCCTACGAAACCGTATGCTGGACAGAAGAACAAGGGGGTGGAGTCGAGACTGATAGGCCTGATCAGAAAATGGCTGAACTTGTCCACGAGGAGTACACCGAATACTTTCCGGAACGATTCGTCCCTCAGGTCGCTTCTGAATCCATAATTCATGAATCCACGTCGTCATCGGCTACGGTAGCTTGCACATCTAACTGGACACGTGGCAGTAGAATGGTGTACAGTAATCAGGAGGAGGAAAGGATGAGCAATGCGAAGGTTATGAAGGAAGAGGAGGTGGAAGAGGAGCACATGGCTTATGATCAGCTGATCATGCAACATCATTTGTGAGTCATTGCTCAGCTTAAAAATTTAAAAATTCTGGAAAATTCCAGTTTTAGTGGATTGCTCAGCTTAAAAATTCTTGAAATTTCGAGAAAATCTTCTGACTTTTTAAGGATTCTTACAATTCTGATTATATAAATCTTGAAATTGTTTGAATAAAATCTAAAAGACGAGGATTTTCGCAAATTGCTCAGCTTAAAACCTCGATTTCCTTGAAATTCTGTTTTTCACAAAAATCCCAAAATCATGAAATTTGAGAAATCTCGAAATTCTAAAATTTTTAAAATTTCGAAAAATCTGCAAAAAGCCTTATTCTGACCGATTGCTCAGCTTAAAATTTTTAATTTTGAAAAAACCTGAGAAATGCAAATTCTCCCCGATTGCTCAGCTTAAAAATTCGATTTCCTTTTCTCGAAATTCTGAAATTTTGAAATTTTGATAATCTGCAAAAAGCCTATTCTGACTGATTGCTCAGCTTTCAAATTCTGAATTTCTGAGTTCCAGACACACAGATGTACTTGATGACGTCGCTGTTGAAGGTGTAGAAGAAGAAGATGGAAATGACGTCGTCGTCGAGGAAGAAGACGTAGAAGAGGACGAACCAGAGCACGTTCGAGTGATTGTGAATCCGAATCCGCCGAAACGTGGCACCAAATCGTTGCGAGACCATCATGAAGCGTCGCAAGCAATGAAGGAGGTGATAATGGAAGCATCGACACTGGTGATGGCCGCACCACGACCACAGAAACCCATTGATTTGTATTCACAGAATAGTTTGGATGCAGCTGCGAAGAAGAGAAAACGAGCCAAGAAATCGATGAATGTCGATTGGATTATTGATGCGGTTGCGAAGGTATGCAGTGGAAATTAAGGGCTTAAAACGACCTGAAATAGTCTGGAATCGCTTTGAAATCGGCTGAAAATGGTCTAAAAACCACTCAAAATACTGTAAAACCTATAATAGAATGGCCCCCACACTGTCAAATTGGAGATCAAATACCTGGGCTCCAATGAGAGATATCGAAAATCTGTCAACGTGATATTGTGATGAACAATTTATCAGTTTACACCTTTTCTATATCTTCAACAGAAACCAAGATAAACTGGATCAAAGTCAAAAGTTAGGGGGCCCTTCTATTAGAGGTTCTACGGTTACCTAAATTATGCTGATATTCTGAAAAATCTGCTCAAAAATTACCTAAAAACCGCTCTCAAATGACCTTAATTTCGCGGAAATCGGCTAAAAAATCTGAAATTAACTGGTTTTTTTTCAGTTTTCAGGATTTTTAGAATAGCTGGAATCTTCAAATGTCTAGAAAAATATATATAGATTCTTATAGCAACAGAGAAAAAATTCAATAAAAAATCGTTTTTTTTTCGAATTCCCGCCAAAAATTAGCGATTTTTCGAGAGAGAAAATTGATTTTTTCTTCGATTTTTGGGAAAAATTTTACGACCTTTTCTAGGGTTTTCGACTATTTCGAAAGCCTCTTTTTCAATTTTTCCCCTTTTTTTCGCCTGAAATTTGATGGAACGGTGTTTTGAGTTACTGTAGATTACTGTTGAAAACGAATTTCTTGTACTTTCGAAAAAATCGTTTTTCTTACATTTATTTGCCACGTGATTGTGTGTTCAAAGCAAAGGAACTACAGTAAGCTCCAGTANCCCAGAACACCGTTCCATCAAATTTCAGGCAAAAAAAATCGGGAAAATCGAAAAAAAATCTTTAAAAATAGCTGAAAAACCGAAAAAGGTCTAAAAATTGGCAAAAAATTGAAGAAAAATTAAATTTTTCTACCGAAAAATCGC